AAAGAGGCGGCCGTATTTTCCGGTCAGCCGCCCACAAGTGAACCATGCATGCATGCGTTATACAACGAAAAATAACTTCGCCACACCGATCATATACTGCTAACAAAGCGATATAACTACCCAAAGGGCAAAAATCTTAACTAGACCCGCAAAAAAACACACGCTACAATACAGACAAATACCAATATGAATAAACGAATCAAGTCCAAGTTCGATGCCTGAAGCTGTTCGTTTTCAATTGGATCATTCACCGGCGAAACTGGTTCATTCTGAGGCGGAGCGGAATCAAGATCAATCGGTTGGGCAACAGCATTAAGTCGCAAGTACCGCTTCTTGTAAACGTGCAAGGAGGTCGAACAGGCGTGAAGCCATACTGTAAAGTCTGTAAATTTCTTTATCTTGCACTTCTCTGTCTTGGCGATCTGCACAGAAAGAGCAGTTACAACCTGTAAACTAGGGTTTTATGCATTGTACATCATTATTTATTCATAAAACAACGTTAATTACTCAAATTCATTAGTTAATCAGCTTCCACGGTGTGTTTGGCCAATTTGAATAGCTTCAAACACACGACTACAATAGATGCCGTCTCATTAGTATTCTTGATATAAAGAATACTTATTAGGATGGACTTTTATCAATAAAGAATACTAATGAAGATGAGTTTTATCAGGTATAAAGGCCGGCGCACACTAGAGCTATGTGCTTAGCAAAATGTCATTCGTGACTGTTGGCGCACGGAGATAGCTCTCGTGTGCGGGCGATTTACGAACGACTTTTGTCATTCGTGCCACTTACGCCAAATATCTAACATGTTTGATAATTTCTGCCTCGCGTGCCAAAATCTTTCCGTGTGCGGCGAACGAAAGCTATCTGCTTACGGATTGTCGTAACAGCGCATGCGTAGTATACGAAAGTAAACATCCAAGATGGCGGCGCAAAATGAATTGCTGGCCGAGGCAATTTTAGAGGACAAACTTACTGGCTATTTCTTTCACCGCACATTCCCTTTTGTCCCTATTTCTAAAATCTGCAGAACTCACATCGTATAAACATTTGTATTCAGGCCAAAGTTCGACAAGTTTGTCCTCTAAAATTGCCTCGGCCAGCAATTCATTTTGCGCCGCCATCTTGGATGTTTACTTTCGTATACTACGCATGCGCTGTTACGACAATCCGTAAGCAGATAGCTTTCGTTCGCCGCACACGGAAAGATTTTGGCACGCGAGGCAGAAATTATCAAACATGTTAGATATTTGGCGTAAGTGGCACGAATGACAAAAGTCGTTCGTAAATCGCCCGCACACGAGAGCTATCTCCTTACGCCAACAGTCACGAATGACATTTTGCTAAGCACATAGCTCTAGTGTGCGCCGGCCTTAAAGCCTCTGACATGTTATGGTTGACATGATTTGCCAATAAGCTTATGATGGCTCGCTACACTTTTTTTTAAATTAAAGATTTTCTGATTTGGATATGAATTTCTGGAGAATTATTATTTGTTTAAAAACCAAGAGTATCTGGAATTTGGAATTTTTACAGAAGTGCTCCTAACTGCCGTTGCTATGGCAACAATGACGTCACAACATGGCGGATATTTCAATAATAATAATAATAATAATAATAATGGTTTATTACGGCATTTCCATTTACATGGCTCTTCATCCTTAAACTAGAAAATACATGCATGCAAAAACCCTCGCCTTGCATTTTCCGAACATGAAGTATCTAAATAGTTGTCATGGTAACTCCACAGAGTAGATAAGACATACAGAGACGTAACTGACCGTTGTAAACACTGCGGAAGATTACGTTATCGTGTACCCACTTTTTTTCAGGCGACCGGGCGAAAAATGATCAACTGCGCGTGCTCAGCAAGTTTAAAGTGAGTTGTCATCAGGTCGTCATCCAATCAGATGCAAGCATCTAGTAACTTGCCGAGCATGCGCACAAAAAAGTGGGTACACTAACACCGCGGAAAAACGTCTGCGCATGCACCAAATTATGAAAATATGGCGGGGAATTTGAATATCAATTTCTAAAACAAAAACATGCTTATTAATTGGTCAAAAATTAGTAAAACAAACGAGAAAATATAGCAAATGGGTAGACTAGACATTAATTGAAAGCGTCTTGGCATTTAAAGTATGGAATGAAATATAATTCATGTAAAAAAATGTTGATTTTAACGGACACGACTTCGAAAATTTTTGCAAAATTATTCAAAACAAAAATTCAAACTAAAAAGTTAAGAAAACTCTCGAAGAGTTAAGCTCCTTAACCCACTCAAATTGTAGAATAAATCCTAAAGTTTAATTATTGTGAACACGCAAATTTTTTATATTTGGCGACACAGTTTTTTTTAAAGAAATGTATCTCAAACGAAAATTCGGAAATTGTCATTGCTTAGTTGATAAACAAAATGTTTCAGACGATAAATTTGTCAACAATCACCTTCAGTTATATTCTTGTACAATACAATTTCTTGAACCTTCTGGTTGTATTTATTTCTAGTTTTTAGAATGACATGTTTATTTTTGCGCTTGAAATCTGGCTGTAAAGACGCACAATGAAGTCACTCCTTTTTACCGCCATTTTGAGCCTTCGGAAACGTTCGGAACAGCTTCTCATCAAGTTTGCAATACTATTACAGGTAAGGTTGACGCATGCGCAGACGTTTTTCCGCGGTGTTAGGTACACTAGTTACGTCTCTGTATGTCTCTACTCTGTGGTAACACGATAATTTTTTAAGAATATTTTTACAAATGAAGAATCGCCTAAAAATATCACTTTCAATTATAAAATTATCAATTTCCCAAGATATATATGTTAGGTATGTTATTATACGTAATATAAGCTTCAATTTAAGGTAAAATTCAACCACAAACGCTTCGCAAAACGTTTTAAAGTGTTCTTTATAAAACTAAACTGCCTTTATTTATTAAATGGCTTTATCGATAAAGTTTGAGTTTGCAATAAAATGATTTCAACTTCTCGCATGCAAATAACTTTGCTTTCTTTTTTATTTAAAAAATTCAATATAATAAAAAAGGGAATCAATAATCCAATATTAAAGATACACTGAAATTATATGCTGTCTTGTCAGTTTTAATAGTTTTTCATATACGCAAAGGCCGTCGGGTTTTAAAGCAATTATAAAATCAATGGAAAATTTAATTAAATTTAAATGAATTTAAAACTAAGTTACCTTCGTTAACGTCGGCTCCATTCTTTTAGCCGATTCTTTCGTTCATTCTTTCTCAGAAAGCTTTTGAAATTTACAAAATCTTGCAAAAATGCGAGCAAATATGAAATATGTTTGCAAGAAATTTATCAATCATCAAATCAAGAAATGTTTGCTATTTCGCTGTCGTCATGCAGTCGTTATAATGCAAACTTTAAATTGGACCAATCAGTGTTCGCTATTCATGACAGTCCGCCACATATTTTGAGATTGGTGAGGATGACCACCCACCGAAACATCGTTGGTGAGCCACGCCCGCGATATTTGATGAACTTTAGACTTCGCTAATGCTTTCGTTTCCCCGGGTGTAAATAGTCGGGGGGAATTAGTACCCTCGCACGGCGCTTCGCGCCGTCGGCTCGAGGATTAATTACGCTATTTATAGAAATATAGCAATAAGAGATTGAAAGTTAAAGGACTACAGCAGGACAAGAACTAATACGAGTTTGTGCTCTTTCCATAAAGACAACTCTCGTTTTTTTCACGAAATTATGGTAAATTGTACAATCTCTAATATCCATTGGCAAACTATTAAAAACAAGACGCCTGCTCAGTCGTTCACACTGGCCTCGCGGTTGGTAAATTACCATCGCAATATTCTAAAAAATAATTTGAAACATGTAGATGTTCTTCGCTTCTTAATGGCCGTCACTTCATGATCACTAACATTCAGAGTACGGCACAATAAAAATCCATACAAAACCAATAGAAGTTAAGCGATATCTTATCGAAAAACACAGAAAATTCAAGCGCATGCGCAATGAAATATAATAAAATACGTCCCACAATTACAGCGTCTAAGACTGATTTGTAACGTAGTTAAATGCGAGATTCGTTCTGTTTCTTACATTGTTTAAAGTTGGTCCTATTAAGCAGCGTGAGCATGTTTTAGCTAAATTGCGCAATCCTGAGCCCATGATGCCGCAATGGAAAGTCACAAAAAAACCAACGAACCAGCGACAACCAAAAAAAAACCCGAAAAAAACAGCATTTTCAGCGAGGGCAAACTATGACACTGGCTGCGGCCATTGTAATTATGGCAGCTGAATGTTCCAATGTATTGCTTATCTTCGGGATTTCTAATTTCTTACCATCGCAATTGCTACGTAATACTCTGACTTGCTGTTTTACATTGACCGACAGATAAGACGGCCAGTTGTCAAAGTAAATGGCTTTAAAGTTTAAAGGCGAGCTTAGCAATGTTGAATTCAATTCTTTCCTTAATTGGTAACCAATTTAACCCGAGAGGGTTTTCAGTGTTAGCATATCGTCCTTGAACAAAACCTGCCGCCGTGTTAAAGTAATTTAATTCGAAAAAAGCTTCGGTGATCCCTATCTTTTATTTTATAAAATGATTTCTTTCATTATTTTGACTTATTTTCATGATTTTAATTAAAAAACTTCTATCATGGCAAAAAAAAATTATTAACGAATTTTCGCATTTTCTTATCTCGAAAAATTTCGGGATGACAGAATTTTTTTTAAATCATGAAAATAATTCAAAATACCAATAGAAATCCTTTTATTAAATAAAAAATGGGGGTCACCGAAGTTTTTTTCGAGTTAAACATAAAATATCAGCCATGTTGTGAAATCATTGTTGCCATAGCAACGGCTGTTAGGAGTAGCTTTTGAGAAATTCCGAACTCTTTAAAGGCGGTTTTCCACTAGGCGAAATTTTTCGACCGAATCGAAATTTCTCTTTGTTTCATGAGCTATCAAGCAGAACTAATTGTAAAAAGACAAAGAGAAATTTCGATTCGGTCGAAAAATTTCGCCTAGTGGAAAACCGCCTTTAGTTATTGTGTTATGCCAGTCAGATACTCTTCGTTTTTAATTAAACAAGTAATAATTGTCCAGAAAATCATATCCAAATCCGAAAATCTTTAATTTAAAAAAGTGTAGGGACATTCTAAAGCGCTGTACAATAATATATAAGAAATATAAAATTTTAAGATAGGTATAATACTATATATAAAAACTACAAGGAAGTGCTAAAAGCTTTCCTAACCTTCCTAACTCACCAATGAGACCGCTGTTATTTGTCGAACGGGCTCAAAAAAGGTAAATATAACACCTTGTTACTGTTTGATACGGCCATAGTGGAAGTCATGTTTACTTGACAACTTTAGCGTGATTAAATAAAGCTTACTCAACCTAGACCTAGGCCTTTACTCGGTTGGCTTTGGCAGATTCGGTCAATTTCGGGGCTAGCATTTGGTAAGTATCGCCATGAAAGCTTAAGCCAGTTTTCCACTTCAAGAGGGTCCTGAAGGGGTAAAATGGGAACTGGGATTGATCTATTTTTAGACTGGGAAAATAGGATTTGGGTTGCTGGGACTGGGATTTGGTCACTGGGAATGGGAAATGAAGTCCTCAAAAATGGGAATGGGATTGATGTAATGCGAGTCGATTCTCAATTTTTCCACGTTGTAAGTATTTTAAAATACAATTTTGATCCGTTTTTGGTGTCTTTGGTCATGATTTTTGTTGTTAACTATATTATTCACAGCACTACCTGCGAACAGGCATACTCTGGAGCCCGGAATTCTGCGTTTTCTGATTATGCGTGTCCCCAAGTCAGATGCACAGTAGCCTGCGTAGCAGACGATTTTTAGGGGAGGTTGCGGGCGGGGAAAATTAGGGCGGGAAAAGTTCGGCGGCAGGGAGAAAAACCGTCTGCCGGGTTTCTATATGATTTCGTTTGCCAGTCCACTGGTGGACTGAAAATACGTGATTGGCTAAAAACCCAACGGCTGTTAATAAGTTTATTATTATATCAACTTAATTAGACAAACATGGCATCTGCTTTGGAGCGTGCATGACAGTGTCGAGTTTAACTTTCATATTGAGAATGCGCTCAGTATACTAAATTCGTATAGAAATTCTTTCGGTAAGTTTGTGTTGAAGACGGAGCAAGAGACAGCCGTAAAGGAACTATTAAAAAGACATGATGTTTTGGCTGTTGTGCCGACAGGATTCGGTAAAAGTATAATTTTTACCGCACGTAGTAGTTTCGTCGAACAGACTATAGAGGCTGTTCTTAAAGCAGTGTGCTTGTGGTTTCTTCTCTGAAAAGTATTATATGCGATCAAGTGTTAGAGGTATCTTCGTTCAATTGCTCTGCGATGGAGCTTTCGAAGGAAACTATCCATCAAATAACAACATCTCCGCCGCAATTTATATATTGTACGTAGCGCGGAAAATTGTATAGACAAAGATTTTCTTGATATGCTCGCTCAATGATGATGGCTCACAATTACACAAGTCTGTGGAAGCAATAGTTGTGGATGAGTCTCATACAATTGAGACATGCCACATGGACTGGGAAACGGTAAGACCGGTTTTCTGAAAGCGCTTCTTTTAAAAGTTTAGTTATGTAGTCTGACATTGACGCCAATCTGGTACAGTATTTCCGCTAAGTATTCATTTCGCATATCCGTACATTGGGACGTTTTTCGTCGTTTGATTTTTGTGTAGAGATATAAAAGGGCAAATCATCGAAGTCGAAGGACAAAAAAGCTTTCAGAGAAGCTTATGGAAAGCTTGCAATACTTAGCTCAATGTGCAAAGAAAGCATGCAATTTATATTTGGCCTCTACAATTTATCTAATATACTCCTAGTCTTAAATGTTAATGTTTATTGACAAGCAAAATAAAATTTTGTTATTTGTATGAGCATTGTCATGTTAAATTACATGCAATGGACAAAAGCAAGTGGTCTATTCATTTAAATTAATCAGAAGTCATTTGTAGCTATTGCACTGTAGTTAGAATTTTTTGGCTTGAAAAGCTGTTCGAAAGATATGCATGAGGTTTTCTCAAAATTTCCGAATTTCAATTTCAAAGACAAAGGGTTTTGCCTTCTTTCTTTGTTAACGATCTTCTTTGGGTATCTCGCTCACTCATCACTCGATACATATCATTTTTTTAAACCTGCGGCACTTGTTTACAATTCACGTAGCTGTCTGACTTCGCTAGTGAAATATTTGCAACTTTTGCAACGTGTCAATTTCATAGCGTAATGTAAATATTGCAAAAGTTGAACTCTGATTGGCTGTTGAATAAACTTTTAATGTGGGCGTGAAAAGGGCGGCAAACGAAATCATATAGAAACCCGGCAGACGGTTTTTCTCGCCCTCCCGCGTAATTTTTCCCCGCCCGCAACCTCCCCCAGAAACCGTCTGCTACGCAGGCTAGATGCACAGTGGAATATATGCCTGGTTTCCGGTATATACTTCATTTAACCCTTAGTATATACCTCAAACAAAGGCAAAGCACAACAAAAAATACCGTCATATCGGACATGTCGGAAACAAGTTAGGCCCGTTTCAGACGGCGTACTTATCATGTAGCGAACTTAATTGATGAATTAGATACGGCAGAAGAGCGACGGCAGAATTTGGAGCGGCAAAAATTCGACACAAGTTCGGCAGAGCTTGTCGCATTATGCGACGTTGGAGCGACATTGGTTCATACGCCGCTCCACTCATGTGCCAAACTTAACTCAACTTTAGTCTAAAAATAAGCTTATTTATTTTGAATTTTATTTAGGTTCCGCTGGCGAATGCGCCCCAACCTTGTTGCTGCCGAAGGCAGCACACTATTCTTAACATGAAGTATTGCGTTTACGTGTGTCCAGTCTCTTTGGCCGAGTTATGTATAGCCGAACGAGAACTCGATTTTGTTGACGGATGTACGGATTTTCAGATTTATGACGTTTTTTGACGTCACAGAAATTTTAAAAAATAACATACTCCAGATAGCGATTTGACTTTCCGAAACCCTGGTTGAGATTGAGACTCACGAACACCACCATGAACGATTACAATTTGTAAACATGTGCCTCGTTGCCTGTGCATGTTGTAAATTTATGTCTGGCTGTTTATCGAAATAATTTTCTTGCGTCTGGCTGTTTATCGAAAATATTTTTCAAGGTAAGATGAAAGTTTGATCACAAATAATAATGTGTTTTGGTTGAATTATTTTACCCATTGAAACGAATGAATCAGCTGTATTTTTATTAAATTTTAATTTTATTGGTGCCATACTGCCATACAAGTATACAACTCTTCACATATTAAAACAAGTGGAGTAAAAAATCTGTTTGAGATTGATAGAACATCGCACTTCAAGGTATAAATAATCACAGTGATAGTTTATTATAATATTATTGTTATGGGAATATCAATTGAGCAGCACCGTGCCCGCATTGGAACACATAATTGTATACGATAGATAAAGATATTCCTATAGCAACCCACCAGCAGTTACATGTAATAACATGTCAACCGACTTTTGTCAAAAGATATGACGGTCTGTACAAATATATCTCTGAGATGTATGTCTATTGTTACTTGTTAGCATAATATATTCACCTGGCTGTGTCAGCTACAGTTCAGGGTATACTATATTTTTTATAATGCTCACAATTTCTTGTATTATATAGTTTTGCAGTTCTGACTTAGTACAATCTTAATCATTACAAATTAATGATGTCATCAGAAGCTGACATATGAAACAACACTGTCAACAAACAGATTTTGTCTCCCCATGCATCAGGCATTGCTGCATCAGCAGATTGTTCAGTTGTTTGCAATTTAGGGGTCAGGGTCGTAGCAACAATAATTTGTAAACTAGCAATAATCACCCTAGACTAATCAGCCCCCAATACAAAATTGCTTCCTATGGTAGTGTGGGTAGCTTTGAAGGTAACCTGAGATCAGGCTCTATTTTACAAATATGCCCTGACACAAACCTTAATCCGATAGTTTTCCACCCATGTGCAGCAAAGTTTATATTTATTATCCAATCAAAATGTTGCAGGAGAAATTTAAATTTCACACAAGGACAACAACAATCTAATTATAGTTGTGATCACTATAAACAACAATATAATGTAATTACCAACCAATCAAATGACAGATTAATTAAAAAATGTTTTTGTCTCATAAACCAATCAGATTTACACCCGAAATACGATTGTAAGGCATGATCTTTTGTTAAGGTTTGTATCAGGCCTATTTATTTATTTATAGGCCTGATCGCAGATTACTTTGAAGATGTCATTAAATTGATAATTGGGTCAAAAACTGACTTAATATTTGTGTATATGAAATTGTTGTTAAATTCTACATGTCCAATGATTCATTCAAGTATTATTATTGTTTATATATAATATGATATTGTACAGTATTCAGTTGCAAGCTAGCTACAATGGTAACTGGTCATGCCATACCTATAAACCTGGATATATTTGAATAATGCAAATAATTAAAAACTTGTATACTGTAGCACTTGATTTTTTCTGTGTTGGTGTAATGTACTCAGGTGAATATGATGCTTGTGATGTTACTCTGAGTGTATATATCCACACCAAGCAAGCTTGAAAAATATGCTTGTCCACGATAGGAAACGAACCTACGACCTAGCTTCACCACTGACTGTATTAGAATTAGAATATTTAGCTGACCTTTGACCTTGTGCAAGGCGTCTGGTATTCAAATTGCACTTTTCCTACTTCCTGAACATGCGTCTTAGGGGCTGTTTACATGATGGAAAGTGGGTTTGATGATTTTTGATGTATTGAAATAAGTCACCAGGTTAAACAAAAGTTCAAATGCTTGTTAACAGAACTTAAATATTGTAGAGAAGATCTTGTAGTTCAAGAAGATTATTATTGCTGCTTGAACAACTTTTCGTTTACAGTTAACTATATAAATCTATCTCTAGAAAATAATGAAGTTTTTCGCTGAATTGTGCACGGTGACTTATTTCAATACATCGAAATCATTCCGCCTCATATCTCGTCCTGGCGGCAAAGCGGGATCATATAAACAGCCCCTTGTTCAGCAAATTGCACATGCTGCCTTTGATCCCTTGGGGGTGAGGCAGCACTTTCCTTGCGATAGTAACTTCTAGTCAATAACATTGTATTTGATACGCCGTTTGAATCACTGCCGTTCTTGTGTCGCATCTAATGCAATTAAGTTCGGCACATGAAGAGTACGCCGTCTGAAACGGGCCTTAACCGAAGTGCTCCTCTTACTCCTATTTCCCTTCACATATGTAACATAACGATTGCAAAAGATATATATTTTATTACTAACAAAATATGAACTATATAAACTCTCGTTTTACATGTGCTCGAAGCAACTATATTTATCTATATTGTCCCGCGAGTGTCCCACGCGTGATTCTTGCGTAATCATACAACTAAGGGCAGGGGCCCTACACTTTCCCCCTGGAAAGAAATGTCAAACACGACATTGATTCATTGATTCATTGAATCATGAAATCTCCAACAATTACATATCTCACAAACTTATCCAACACGAGATGCTGCAGTCATTTCGGTAAGAATCAGTTCGTCTCTTTATACTTGTTCTACTATCGTATGTTTTCAAACAACATCGTTTCAAATTTCAAAATTAACATGCACTTAAAGTTTCTTTCGAAGATCACGATCTTCAGTTCAATACAACGTTAACGTATTTATCTAATTAAAGAACATTGTTCCACAGTACGGACAATGAGGTCTGAGGTATGCGAAGGGATCATAAGGTAAGGGGGTTGGCTGCCACATATAAGGAATGGAATTCATTGGTGGGAAAGGCATCACTCCTGGGTGATTAGGTTCTACAACCCGGTGTCCAATAATTTAGTCTTGGTGGTGGGTTTCTGTTTCTGCTAGGTCTGGTATTTTCCATAGGTGGTGGTGGGATAGTTGAATTTTCCATTGCTGGCGGTGGGATTGTTGGTTGTTCTTCATCAAGGGCCAATACATTTGAAAGCTAGATCCAAAACGGCAAGGTACGAACGGGACTCTTTGAAAAGTTCCCATGCAAGGCACCTCCGGCGTCCAATTATATGATTATATGTACAGTTATATACTTATATACACATAGTATACATATACGCACGCTCACAGACAAAGCACACACAGAGACAGGTTACACACACAGACAGGTTACACACAGACGCTTAAAGGCCATTTCCCACCGCAGTCGCCCCGCACACGCGATTTTATCATGTGAAAATTTGTTCTACTTTCATGGCGTGTCCGCGAGCATTCAGGCGGACAAAAATGAAAGGCCTTTCCGCTCGCGTGGGCAAAGCGACTGCACTGGAAAATAGCCCCAAAGATGGTCTATTAAACACACATTTATTTTCGCTGTTCTCTGTGACAGGGACAGTCACGCACCGAGAACCAAGTACAGGGTAGGTCAATATCATATACAGAGCGTAGAAGTTCTAAATAGCTGCGTTTAAGAAAGTTTTTGAAAGAGATAGGGCTAGAGAAAGTATCTGGATTGACATCTTGGCATACATTGTTCCACGGTTTGACAGTACGGTTGAAATAAGATGATTGAAACGTAGCAGTTCTAGATAGATAGATAGATAGATAGATAGATAGATAGATAGATAGATAGATAGATAGATAGATAGATAGATAGATAGATAGATAGATAGATAGATAGATTTAATAAAATACTTCGCAGCCATAGGCTGAATTGCGTATTTTTTTTTTACAAGTAAATTTAACTAATTACGAGAATATAAAAGAAAAGTTTATCAAGCCATTATGATGACATTCCATATAAATATTATATATACAAGATGTTTACTTTAATATACTAAAAAATTTAAAATTATTAAAAATATTAGGTCATTTCAATAGCATTAGATAAATGATTTGCGGCACAAAGCCACAAAAAAACTAGTTTGAAAACGATTAGTGTTACATCTAGGAATTTCAAATTTCCTATCGTTTCTTAAATCATAAAAAGAAGTATGTATAGGTGGCAGTAAACTTCGTAACTTATGATTTTCATCAGCGACTACTGTTTGAAATAAACTAGTACAAATATTTTCATGATGAACAGACAGTGACTCCAATCCACAACTAATTAAAGCGTCTTCGTAATTAGTGTTTGGACAGATGATTCTAATAGCTCTTTTTTGTAATCTTTCCAATTCGGAACGCAAGTATTTTGGCAACGAATAGTAAATGACAGGGATACCATACTCCATAGTCGATAACAGATCGAATACATGTAACATAAAATAGAACCAGATCATTTCGAGGAATACTGGCCCGTTTGAGTTGGATCAGGTAATAGATTCGTTTGGATACTTTTTTAACTACCTCTTCGATATGTAGATTCCACGTCAGGTTATTATCGAATGACAAGCCCAGAAGTTTAACGGATTTTACGACTCTAATACTTTTATTGTTAATAAGTATCGGGTTAAAATCACGAGGGACTTTTGAGAAGGAAATACGGAGCTCCTTACATTTCTCTTCATTCAACTTCATTTTATTGTTTTGGGACCATTGTGACATCTCATTAGCAATTGTCTGTGCTCTACTCTGTTGGTTTTTGTCAACTGTTTCCGATACTGTCGTATCGTCCACGTATTTCCATAAGTCAGTATCTGTGATAGATAAATCATTTATCAGGATTAAAAAGAGCCATGAACCTAAAATGGTGCCTTGAGGGACGCCCGAAGGTACTGCACCCCAATCTGAAAAACATCCTTGTGAAAGTTTGACTCTTTGGAATCTGTTACTTAAGAAATCAATAATCCAATTTATAACACTTCGTGGTAGATCTAACTGAAGTAGTTTATTGAACAAAATTCTGTGATCAATTAGATCAAAAGCTTTTTGGTAATCGAATAGAATGATTCTAGTTGTAGAACCGGTACCGTCAAGCCCGGAGGTCCAGTTGTGCACCATACTAAGAAGAGCAAAAATCGTCGATGATTTAGGGATTGCTCCATACTGATTGGGGTCAATTTTCTTCAAAACAGCTGGTTTCACATAATCATTAACGAAATGCTCTGCAACCTTCGAAATATTAGGTGTTAATGAAATGGGCCTAAGTTCTTATTTCAGGTCCTGTACTATTTTTACTTTTGGCAGCGGTGAAACATTCGCAAGTTTCCATATTGCAGGTAGGCGTTGTTGTTTGTAGGATGCATTTAGGAGCAGACTAATTGGGAGGGCAAGGATTACAGCATACTCTCGCAAGAGCCAATTGGGCACTTCGTCAGGGCCACCACTTTTACTGGGGTTGAGTTTTTGTAGCTGTGATAAAACCCTTTCTTCAGAAACTTCTAAGAAATCTGGGGTTTCCTCTAAGTTAAGTCGCTCTAACGGTGAAGATAGTTGATATTCTGATAAGGGTTCAAGAAAAGCTGTATTTATTCTGTTTGCTAGTTCTTGTTCCGATATATCTTCAAAACCAGCGATATTTATCAAATTTATTAGGGAGCTGTTCATTGATTTCATTTCTCCTAGGCGTTTGATTTCACTCCACCAAGCTTTAGGGTTATCTTTTTCTTTACTGTGAACCTGGGTCGTATAGTATTTTGATTTACACGCTTTTCTCTCGCGATTGACAATATTTCGGTAATATTTAAAGCCGTTGCATTTTGGACCGTAACTGAAAAAGGCTTCTTGTCTTTTTTTTATAAATGTTTTCAATTTATCGGTCATCCAAGGAACATCTGCAGAGATTTTCTTAATCCGTTTAATTGGCATGAGGAGGTCAAGACCAATAGCTACAATGTCATAAATAAAATTCGCCATATCTTCACAGCTTTGTGATTGAGAAAAAATTTCAGGCCAAAGGATTGATTGTAAAAATCTCCCCATGGCATCTTTCTTACTCTGACGAAGGTCTCGTTTGTATACAAATGTAGATTTTGCTTTCTTCACAATGTGAGTGGGTGAAACTACAACTGTGTTGTGATCAGATAATCCAATCGGAGGGAGTATTTGCGGAGACTTGTAGAACTCGTGCATATTAATTAATATAAGATCAAGTATTGCTTCGCCTCGAGTTGGTGATTTAACTATTTGTTTCAACCGAAAATGCTTAATTATATGATTCACATTAAGACGATTGAAATCCCCAGCAATGATAATACCGCAGTTGTAAAATTTTGCTTTGACTTCGCTCAGTGTCTGAAATAAGTGACTC